GGGCATTCATATCCTCTTACATGTATATCATCTTCGAGTCAGAATATAAAGCTTTCCTGTCAAACGACTTCATCGAACGAGTTCATTTATAGAATCTTATTCTATGTAGTGGCTGCAAATTTCATTTCTACTTGACCAATATCTAGCACCTATTCCCCCTTCTTTTTAAAGTGCTTTATATTTCTATTAAAAAAAGCACCAATTGCCTCTTATCCGAAAACGTCTTACCTTTTCAGTGCATTATGTTTTTCTTACATCCGTCATCTTTATATTCGAATTGTAATATAACAATGCCAAAAATATCAACTACTATTAAAATATTCATTTAACAAGTTAAAATAAATTTTCAAATCGATATAAGAATTTGTAGAGATCAATTTATCATATGGATTTGATGATCTAATATTGAAAAAACGCACAGTAAAAAATATCATATTTGCAAAATATTTTAATAAGTTATAACTTCTGGCTTAAATTTCAGATTGATATTGATTTAAAGAAAATTAAAGTTGATGTCACATTTTCGAAAGAAATTTTTTTTAATTCAAACGAAGCCTTTACAAATAAACACTATTCCATTTTGTTTACATTACCTACAATTCAGTATTCTACATACAGCTATAAACTGGAGAAATTAGTCTGCGACAATATGTCATATGGTAGAAGTTGAGCAGGGGCAATGAGGCTCTTATTTGGTTCAAATATCAGTGAAAATTGTAAAGTAACCATACATATTCTTAAATTTGTCCTAGCTACACAAGGGTGCCAGGTGTTCAGAAAGCAAAAACAAATTTCGTATTTAACGAGTTACTGTGGCAACAAACCATGACGAAATCGGTAAATTTTGTAAAATAATTTTAAATTTCTTTTTTTTTACATCCACTTTATAGTATATATAAGATTTGAGAAGTAAATGCGCATCCAAGAAACAACTTTATATTTGGTGAGATTATGTCAATAGTTATAACAAAGCTTCTCTTATTAATAAATTATTGTGTTGTTTCTCGGCTTTGCACGATGTTTCCACAATAGAAATAACAATGGAAAACTCCATAAATTCTGCATTTGTCTTCTTTTTTATGAAAATGGTGCATATAATGATGTATTTTAGAGCATCCTCCAAGAGATGGAGACATACACTAACGACAAAGTGAGTTATGAAGAAAATTTACCAACACAAGTACGATCATTCAGACTTGCAAGTCATAACACCTTTAATATTAGAATGACTACAGCAACATTTTATGTCATTCAAAACATCCTAAAAAAGAGAGTTAAACCTGAGAAGAAAGCATTGCTTTACCTATTTGCAATCTTGTTAGCAAATTCTTATGCCCCAGAACTAAACCCTGGTCCTAGAGCACCAAAATATCCTTGTAGAACTTGCAATAAGGCAGTCACCTGGAAAACTGAAGGTGTGTGCTGCGATTCTTGTGACAAATGGTACCACAAATGTGACATTGATAATAATTATTATTGAGACAACTAAACCAGGCAGTATTGTAGTAATGAATCATGGTTGCACAAAGATATTAATTCTACTGAGATTTTCCCACAAGGGTACATTGTATACAGAAAAGACCGTAAAACAGGCGCTCATGGCGGGGTATTTATACTTAAATATCTGACAAATATCTCAGCTCAGAACCACTTGATTTAGATTTTGATGACACTAGTGAACAACTGTGGGTCAAGGTGTAAATTATAGGGTCACCTGATTTGTGCATAGGGAGTTTTTATAAACCTCCAAATAAAACTGAGGGGGACTATTTATCACACGTGGGAAAATCTATCTCCAGAATAAGGCGTAGTGAAAATTGTCACCTTTGGATAAGTGGTGATTTTAATCTTGGTGGAATTGATTGGAATTATTACTCTATAAAACAAAAGGCATACAATTCAAAACAATATCAGCAACGTATAGACATATGCCAAGACAATAATTTAGAACAAGTTTTAACAACATCATTACATTTCTCAGAAACACCACAGTTCATACTTGACCTCTTTGTTATGAATAACAGCTCCCAAGTAAATAAATCTGAAGTTGTTCCTTAAATATCGGATCACGAAATTATATATATCGAATCCAACTTGAAACCTAGAAGGGCCAAAATGATAAATAACACAAAACAGAAACTACCATGGATTAATACAGAGATAATATCACTTATAAGAAAAAGGAATAAATTGTTCAAAAAATGAAAACAGACTGACACAATAAATTAATAAACAGTACAGGGACACAGAGAAACTACTCAGAAAGAGACAAGAAAAGCCTACAGGACATATTTAGAAAACATCATTTGCTACGACGAAAGCTTACAAACTTCACAAAAACAGAAAAAGTTTTGAAATTACATCAAGTCCACCAAAAAAGACAGTTCAGGAGTTGCATCGTAAAGATCTGAGGGCATGCTGATAGATGATACAAAACAAAAAGCTGAAATACTAAATAAAGAATATCACTCTGTTTTTACTCCTGAAAATGAAAAAGAACAAATACCAACTCTTTCCGACAGTTATCAATCTATGTCAGAAATACATGTAACATCAAATGTTATAGAAAAGAAAAACTAAAATATCTTGATCCATCTAAAGCTACAGGTTCAGATGAAATACCAGCACCCATACTATAACAATTTGCATCAGAATTTGCACCACATCACACATTTTCATTTTTTAACAAATCTTTTTTGAAAGGAGATGTACCATCAGACTGGAGACACGCAAATGCAATTTCTTTTTTTTTAAAGGCAAAAAATACCTAGCCAGTAACTACAGGCCTGTCTCATTAACCATGTTAATCTGTATATAACTGTTAAAACACATTGTAGTAAGTAACATTCTAAAACATCTGGACACACATAACATTCTAGTGGATAACCAGCATGGCTTCAGAGCAAAACACAGCTGTGAAACACAACTCCTTACGAGTAACAATGATGTACAAAATCACACACAAACTTATAGCAGTAGATCCGAACTTTATCTTTCACCACAGCCAGTCAAAAACACTAGATTCACAAATTCACTACCATACCAAACATTCAACACCAGGACAGATTACTTTAAGTACAGTTTTTTTTTCCCTTCACAGTTGTAATGTGTAATTCACTTCCACAAAAAGTCATCAGCGTTAACTCTTTGGATCAGTTTAAAATAGTGATCCAAAGTCAGTACATTTAGATATCTACCCTGTTTGTAAATATGTAAATGTGTTTATTTTTTTATTTTTGCACAAAATTATTTTTGATTATTGCACTAATAGAATTGTTATATTTTGATAAGTCTCTGTTTGAGATGCGCCGACGTATAGTCATCAATGAGCTGATGGATCGTTGTACGATGTAGATGTAGATGTAGATTTGTGACGTCATAACATGAAAAATCTTATGTTAATCATTTAGTATTCTTGATTTAATGCATTTTCCGAACATTATGTGCGAATTTGAAATAGTTCACAAACATTTTTTTTTCTTGGGCCAAAACTTCGCCTTAATGCCCTTGACTCCTTTATGTATATGAAATCAAATCTCTTTATTCCTAAAATCTTGCTGTTTAGTTTACAAGATTACTACTTAAAATTTTGAATTTTCAAATCTCATGATATTAGATTTAAAGGTTAACATAATTTTTTAAAAATACTGTATAGAACAACAGACCACATCAACCATCAACACTGAATACTCCGAAACAAACGCATTTACAAACAAAGATTAACAGCAACGAACAACACATGATTCAGATAGTCTGATTCAGTACAGACACCAGAATGGAGTAAAATCAGTTTTACGTGCGCACATTTGTGTCATTTAAACTTTTCTTTGTTACCTTTTCTAACATCGGACTCGGACTTCTTTTAAACTGAGTTTTACTGTGCGTATTGCTGTGTGTTTAAAATAAACTTGAGAATGGAAATGGGGAATGTTTCAAAGAGACAACAATCCGACCAAAGAGCAGAAATCAATCAGTACACATCCAATGGATTCAGGATAAAGACGTCCAAAAAAGTGTGAGAAAAACATCACATCCAACGTCCTTGTACAATGCCAAAATATAATATCGCCGGGATGTAAGACCAAAACAAATTATGCCCAGCAAAATGATGTTAACTCAGACGTGAATAAGATAGTACCATCAGTCGTCTTAAGTTTTGTTGACGGAATTGTTGAATGAGATGGATTGTGTCATTCTTATTCAGTGCTTCTTGGTTCATTACCGATTAGGTAGAATGTACTACTGAGAATTTACTACAGCAACGGTATTGTCCTACTAAAAGATCCCAGGTGTCCTTATCTTAAAATAATCAATATGTAAAGGTAATAGTAGTATCCCGCAGTTCAATAGTCATAAATCGATTTAACTGAAACAAATCCGGGTCACAAACCAAGGATGAGGGAAACACATCAACTATAAGAGGAAAACAATGTGCTACTTTTGATTTCTGTTTGTTCATTTACTTTAGAGGGTTACAAATAGTGGATCGATGAATACTTTGATTTTCGTTTGTACCAATTTGTGGACTGAACATTCTTTATTAATGCAGAAATACATTTGTTGCTTTATCTTAAGCATACATTAATGCAAATTAACTGCTTAGGTTTTTTTTCTGTTCATCTTCAGTATTATAGCCATTCAAGCATTGTTTAATCGTTGGAGAAAATATTATCAAAGCAAAGCCTTGGTTGTTATTTTCAGAGCCTAAAGCCTTAGCAAATCTATCGTTTGGAATTCAATAATATCCTTTTTGATGTATTAATTCTCGTTACATGTACGTAGCTGCCTTTTACAAACGTAATTTTATATATAAAAGTAGTAACTAACGTATGATTACAGGTAAATAAATTTGATAAGTCCTGTTTTATAATTAGAGTCGTCTTTTGTCCTTTATATACAATGCTACACTTACTTAAGTTAAAACTAACTTGAGTTAGTAATGCTACATAATCTGACAAAAATATGTGTTTTATGAGATCAACCTACGAAAACATCTCAACTTTCATCTTTTTGAAAAACTTTATTACCGTAACAATATAATTTTTACATAACATTTTAATGTAACAGATATAATACACAATTTCATTGCTGTTAGAACAATGTTCATCATATCAATTTTTTTTGTATCTACAAAAATGAAATTGTTTCATTGGCTTTGATGTAATATTTCGAAGATATATAACCAATTACTTGAACTGCTTTTTACAAAACCGTATCGGCTAAAACAATCAAGTCTCCTGGGCATAAAATATTAAACAAATAACAAACATCATGAAATATGAGTGTACTTTTGACTTATCAAGTGTTTTGTTTATTCTCTTTACAAAAAGCGATCACTTTCAAAATACGTGCAATAGGTCTATTAGGTGAAAAATACAGGTCTAGTACGTGGACTTGTTCCAGTCAGCTGACGAGGACTCGATCCTAATGTTTGTTTATCCAACTGGTCGGTGACATCACTTAATTCGTCCGTTTCTGGTAGACGTGAGGTGGACACTGTACTGAGAGTCCTCTTCATACTTCTTGTTAGTGGTGGGATGTATTGACGTGGAATAAGGAATGTTGATAAATTAAACAGATCAACAAAGACTTTGTATCGATCACTGAAAACAAAAAGAAACTTTATACATAAATCAAATCATTTTATTGGTGTAAAATCCAAATATTGGGTTGTTACCAAGACACACATGACAATATTTACAAACATATGATACTGTTGTTGAAATACTGTATAACTTCTGAGAAGTAAATTAATAGAATCGGACCACAACACAAGCAGAAGCAAAAATATTTTGCTGAAAGGTTCTTTTCATTAAGACTGTTTAAAAATAGGACGAAAGAAGAATGATGAGGTTTAATGTAGCTGCTATTGGTTTTGTTCTTTGATAAGGGTCTGGCTGAGAGGTCCTTCATTTCTGTATTCTTTTGAAATTTTTATGTCATTTTTCTTTATTCTTTAAATTTTTTCCTATTGTTCTCTGTTCTTCATATTTAAGTACCCCATTTTCTCATTTCTTTATTTTTATTTACTTTATTGTTTTGTTTATTTTCCATTCTTCAGCAATATTGGCTCATTACTCTCTATTCTGTAAACCCAATCCAGACCCTCTGTAATGTATACATTTTGTACATGAATCGTGTTGCTCTTTAGTAGTTGCTACTAATATCATTGATTGTCAATCCATATACATATTATGTATAGCCATAAAGACAAAACAAATATGTTTAACCTTGCAACATTCTTTATGTGCATGTCCGAAGTCAGGAGCATGTAGTTCAGTCGTTGCTGTTGGTTCAAGTCTGTCATATTTGTTTTTCGTAAATTGTTTTGTTATCAATTATGTTGTTAGTTTTCTCAATTTTACTGTTTCACATTTATTTGTTAAAGAAAAACACATTTTATTATACTGTAAACCAACTTATTTTCGCGAATACTTTATCTTGCCTTACTAGCCCTTTCTAGCCCACTTCGCAGCGATTTTATTTCGCGATTTTCAAATTTATTTGATGAGGTTAAATGAGGAAAGCATTTTTCTTGGCAGTCGATGATCTCTGATGAGAAAAAAAATAATCTTTAGATGTGCGTTAGTAGTAAAGCTATGGTCATACAGACGGTCAGCTATTCGCGTATTTTCAAAACTGTATTTCAAAGCTTTCAACCTGAGAGTTCTTGATAAAGTATATCCAGAAAAGTGATTCGGACACACCAAATTTTATAAAGTATTATATTGTTTTTATTCGTATTGATTAAACATAAAAGCAAAACAAGGTTATAAAAATTGAGAATAAACTGCTAGAAGATCTTAAAATTTCAAGGATTTGCAAAGCTGCGATCTTGAAGAGAAATTGTCAGCATGAGAACAACATGTATATAACAAAGTTCATTTGAATATTTATTTCGTGTTCTTCATACCTGATGGTAGACCGTAAGTAATGGTAACCAGAAGATCCACCTGTCCCTATTTTACTTCCGATCATGCGCTGAACCATCATAACGTGATTATCTATAACAAAAAAAAAAACAGAAATATGATTTCAAACACTATGCGAGTAAAAATCTTCAAAACGTAAATATAAAATATGAAAGAGATAATTATAAGGAATGAAAAGATATTCATAGAATTTGATATACTAATTTTGATTTAACAGGTCGACAAAACAATTCAATAGCTTATTTTTGCCATCAATTCATTTCAAAGCTAAAAGTAAGAAATACTATATTTAAACAATTTTCAATATGAGCAATTCACTGTAAATAACTGCAATTTTCACATATAAATAATTTGTTGAAAAGCTTTGGTAGTGGACTTACTTTGTTATCATTACGAAAACAAAATCATATTTGAACAAAATACTAAACGTGCTCTTTAATTTTCTATTAAATATCTATTTTCTACACAAGAAAATGCCTGTACCAAGTCAGGAATATGACAGTTGTTATCCATTCGTTGATGTGTTTGAGCTTTTGATTTTGCCATTTGATTAGGGACTTTCCGTTTTGAATTTTCCTCGGAGTTCGGTATTTTTGTTATTTACTTTTTACTACATAATATCGTAGAACTATTTTTTTATTCACCGTTATGGAAAATATATCACTAATGACCACGGGTATGTTTCATTTTCGTAGCCACAATCACGTCCTCTTTTCCTCGATTGTGACATCCCCGAATGTGAAGCAGTATCTGCTTACCCTTCCGGAGCACCTGAGATCACCCCCGTTTTTTTTTGTTTTTTTTTAGGTTTTTAGGATTTTTGAAGTGGAGTTCGTGTTGCTTGAAGTCTTTAGTTAAATTTTCTATGCAGTGTTTTGTAGACAGTTTGTTTTTTCGCCATTATTCTGTTGGTTTCATTTCCTCTTCGACTTACGCAATGATGAATATTAAACTTACAGCGCCATTTAGTAATGAGGGAATCTATGTCCATCAACAGAGTAAGCATCTGGAATGGTTGGTTGAATCTGGGTTCATCTCGATACAACGATATCATCAGTGCACCCTGGAATGCCTTATGGTTTATTCTCCTTTCGCCTGACAAATAGAAAACAATTTTGCACAGTTGCTCCAGTGTAATCAGGTGGGAAAATATACATACCAACTATTTATATGTAATAAGAAAATTCAAATTTAAATTAAATTAAAGCTTTTAAGTTCTTAAATGAAATTTATCGAAGAAATCATATTTAAAGGTTAATGATTTGCCAGCCAGTATTTAGTTATGAGGGATAACCTACTCTTCATTTTAACCGTACACGGACATAAAATTTATACAGCGGCTTTTTCCATTGAAAGGTTAAGAGTGTTTCATAAACGAAACACGATTTTATGACCTTTATGAATATGATAGAAATTACAAAGCTGTTTTCTCTTTATTTATTTATTTGTTGTTGTTGAGGGTTAATAATATTATAATTGTACAACAATTTTATGTTGTCTAATGAACATTAACTGTACGGTTTTTTTTCTTCTAATGTCAATAACAATGTTATATTAACCAAGTACTGATGATCGAAAACAACTGTTTAAAAAATAAAAGAGGAACATAATTTCTTGGTTCTCATTTGTTCAGAAATTATAAGAAGTTTTTGAAATTTAACAAGAAGTAAAACATTTTGGACAATATACATTTTTGAATATATCTAACAAATTAATTCACACTAAATATATAAACAATTGGTATGTTAGCCAAAAAAATGCTTCTGATGGAAAATTGTTCAATTATTTCAAATTTAAACAAAATTTTGGCTATGAAAATTATCTCTCTTTGGTAAAGAACTTTGATTTTAGAAGAGCTATTTGTAAATTACGTATATCTGCTCATAAGCTTCAAATTGAATTTGGTCGTTTTTTCTAATATTCCACGAAATGAAAGAATTTGATAAAAATTCTCCTCAGGCTGTGTTGAAGATGAAATCCATTTTTTAACTTCATGTGAAAAATTTAACTCTGATAGAGATGCTCTCTTTGACTTTGTTTGCCATAAAATACCTAACTTTACTTTACTAAACAATCAGCAAAAATTCATATATTTATTAAGCTGTAGAGATAATCAGGTTCTTAATGCTGTTGGAAAATTTATTCAAGTCAATATGAGTTAGATGTATTTATTTCTCATATAAATATATTATATACAATAAACCAAGGGTTTTTTTACTGTCTAATTGTATCGTAATTGTGTATGTAAATTCTATGTATTTATGCTAATCAATGTTCTTTTCCTTATACTTGTATTCTCTATATGCCCCTTGTGGGCCCTTAATTGGTAATAAAATATATCGTATCTTATCTTATCTTATATGAGTTTCCTGTCTCCAAGACATTTTATTTTAAAACAAGTACACGTAGAACCTTTAGTTACTGCTCACAAATATTCGCGCCGGTATAAGTATTCGGTAAACAAGATGTTGATAAGCAATGGATTTTAAAAGTCAGCACACATGAAGCTTGGATCCAAATATAAGATTTGTAAATTCTTTAGAAAATGCGATAAAAGTTCGATGGGGCAGACAGAAACAGGGATGGAAGGAAACACGTAAACCAGTATATTCTTCGGAGCGCGGGTATAAGAATCAAATACCCGTGAGAAAGTATTTACCTCTCTCTACATAGACGTTGTATTTTTCAGCTGTAAACACAGATTCAAACGAGTCCTACAAGAAAAAATACACAAGGTCTCAACAAATACACAATGTTTCTCAACAAATACACAATGTCTCAACAAATACACAATGTTCTCAACAAATACACAATGTCTCAACAAATACACAATGTTCTCAACAAATACACAATGTCTCAACAACCTGGTTAACTAGCTGTAAGTAGAACAACATGCAAAAACCCGAAGTTTCAGATTAAACTAAATTTATTTTTCGAAAATAAGATTGAGAAGTAAATTTAAAGGTTAAAATAATTTGTTCTGACAAACTATTTAAATGTGGCTTAACACTGCTAGAAATGTTACATACTAGAAAAAGGTTTCAAATATGCTCATAAAAGTTAAGTTTCAAATGACAAAAAAGAGGAACATGTAATTTTCAACTTATAATTGAAAAATCCTCACCTTTTGTTTGTTGTATTCAGCAAGCAAGATTTCTTTCTGTTTCGGATCTGTCTCTTCCTTTAAATAAGTTTAATACGTTATATTAACCACGGTAATTCTTTTAGTTCATTTGTAATATGGTTCTTATATACCAAATATCAGTTATACGCATTGGTTGAATTTGTAAATATTATATTGGTTTATTTTATGTACATTGCTCGTCAATGTTTGATACTTTTTGATTCCAGTAGCTAAGTTCGTAGTTTCTTCTGGCGAGAAATAATATTTTGAAGAATTCATATGGTGCATCAAACAAGCAAACTCACTTTTAAAATTGTTTTTATCTAAAGCAATGTTCTGTTAATACGGAATGCAATGTATATATGCTTTATTTGTATCATTTATGCTTAGCATCATAATAGACAGCAGATAGAAAAAAAGCTATGTTGTACATAATACGAATAGGACAGAAGGTGAATATTTAGTTATTTACACATATTTATAAATTTTACAATGCATTCTTCTTTCATATCTTTAATTTGTATCCAGATCAGAATTAAAAGAACTGCATATTCGACATTACAATCAGTCCTATACTCAATAATATAACCAATTACAGTATAGCTTTATAAATTTGTTGCGTTCGAAGCATCAACCTTCATCCGGGACTCTCAAATCCAAACATTTACAAGCCAAATGACGCACAAATACTTGAATTTCTAGTGAGATTTATGACAAAATAGGGCCTAAACAGAATAGTTACAATAAAATCAACCTAATTTCAATTTTCCAGAGAGAGAGAGTTCGAAACATGTTTTTTTAATAATTTCTAGTCCAAATAATTATGACGTCTTGAAAGGCTAGGCGTCACAGAAATAAAAATAATAAATAGCCTTTCAAGACGTCATAATTATTTGGGCTAAATAATTTCTAAATTTATCAAAGCAGAATCTAAGAAAGGTGTTATAAATCATACAGTACCGAAGCAATGACTACTGCATGCGATGATTGTACCATCGGGGACCAGGACTAGGTTGCTCAATCATCGCAAAAGTCCAAAAGTAAGAGTTACAGAGTGTCGACCTAGTGCTAGAAAATGTAAATAACGATTATGATATATAAGAAGATCAAATAAAAATGTTCCGTCTCTAAGAACATAGAATTTCTGGTAAATCCCTATGCTATTTTGATTTTACCATGTATGGTGTATGCCAGTCGTTTTCAATCCACTGGTACACTGCTGTTTTGTATCTTTCCCAGAAGTTAAAGTCAGCCCTTTCATGGTCAGTTAATCCTGGAGTCCGTTCCAGCCATTTCTTAAATATGAAAAAGGCTTGGTAAAACTTTGACAGTAGCCTGTTTTAAAACATACAACTACTGTAATGTGTAAGACAGTAACACCCAATAAGATGGCGCTGTTTTATAATACAATCAAATGCATTATAATTGAAATAAAAAGGAAAACGTACAATATGCAAATCATTGTAAGGTTCTATTTCATTTTTTTTATTTTTCATTTCAAGTCTCCAATCGGGATTATTAGAGTTGTAAACACGAACATGACTATAATACGTTTTGTAGGGTCGTTGGGTTTCTGTCTGATAGATGTATACCTTACATCTCCATTTATTCATACACATCTACAGTCATTGTTTAACTTTATACATACATAGAAATAAATGTCGCCCGCTATATAATCTGTGTGCTGTTTGATTGATTAGTTTGTAAGTGTATGTCTTTTTGAAAGATTGCCATATTCTAAAACATACAGCTTTTTATCTTTATTCAGAAATACTTATTTCTCTGACAACAATGACAGCTATCACTTTTACATTTTAACTATGTTGTCTACTAATATTTTACATCTTATTTGAATAAGGCTTGTTATGGTGCCATAATGCATAAACTAAAAATAAATAAACAAATAAGTCCGACTATTCGTACCTCAAGTAAAGTAAGTAACGGAGGCGATGTAATAGAGTCTGCTAACATTTGTTTTGAATCTTCATCGTTAAAAACTTTCATATAGTGCTGCTGGTTATACTTTACTCGATTTTCCTGAAATAAAACAATGCATATACATGCCTTTGTAAGCTTTCATTTTCATTACTTTGCGAAATAAAGTTGTTTCAACATATTTTGTTCTTTTGCTTTAAATTCAAATTTCGCATTAGTAAGAGTATATGTGCGTAAAACAACATTTCCATTCTAGAGAACTGCGAAATATGGGTCAAAATCCTAATAAGCATATAGTTTTCTTTTTAAGTTTACACTACAATGAACATGTGCACTAATTTTGAAGTCGATATGCCACAACTTCATGGTCAACTACCTTAAACCAAAACTTTAAATTAACTTAGACCAAAACTTTAAATTACCCAAAACTTTAAATTATCTTAGACCAAAACTTTAAATTAACTTAGACCAAAACTTTAAATTACCTTAGACTAAAACTTTAAATTACCTTAGACCAAAACTTTAAATTACCCAAGACCAAATTTTAAATTAACTTAGACCAAAACATTAAATCAACTTAGACCAAAACTTTAAATTACCTTAGACCAAAACTTTAAATTACCCAAGACCAAATTTTAAATTAACTTAGACCAAAACATTAAATCAACTTAGACCAAAACTTTAAATTACCTTAGACTAAAACTTAAATTACCTTAGACTAAAACTTTAAATTACCTTAGACCAAAACTTTAAGTTACCCAAGACCAAAACTTTAAATTTCTTTAAATCAAAATTTTGAATATTAACCTCTAATCAAAACTATAACATAATCGTCCATGAGGGATGGACGGATACACAGGCATGAAAACATGTCACCTTACTTTCATGGCGAGGCATAGAAATCAGACTGAATATCAAGAGATTAGTGTTAAAAGGTATAGATTAGACCAGCATTTCTGTAAATTTCATTCGTGTACCTTACAAAGGTCGATCACTAAACGAAACCATAGGCCTGTATGAGCTACAGCTTACAACATAAAAGATGTTATGTATTATATGAAACAAGGGGAAATGTTGCTGGCTCTGTCACTGTAACCTACCATAATGATTGGAGATATTCTTTATCAACTTAATTCAATATTATTTTAACTTCTAAAAGAAATTCTTATTTTGTCATCAATAATAAATTATAATAAAATAATAAATCTTTATTCTCAAGGGTATAACGCAGCTAGCTATAAAACTTATTCTCAACGATATAACGCAGCTAGCATAAGAATAATCCTCCCTGAGATCCTCATAAAATACAATAAAATATAACAAACAAAGAAAAACACAAAATGATTAGTATTCAAAGCCATTAGGTGATAATAAATAATATATAACCTTACCTCCTTAACTCCAAGTTTATTTTCCATCAATCTAAACTGTAGACTTTGAAATCCAGAGGCTGAAGACAAATACTGTCTGTAAAAAATATTAAAGCATTTACTTGATATACACCAGTATCAATCTAATAGAGGTATACAGAACCTGTGTATCATGTTCAGAACTCATAAATGCAATAGGAAAATATACAAAGAAAAAAAAACAGTGAGGAAACGCATGATTGATTAATTGTTGTTTACTTTAATAGTCCAGTTGCAAGTATTTCATACATGTTCAGGACGAAAACAAATTAATAATAAATACAATATGTAAGTCATTTAATTGGGAACCGGTCGATGTACGTCCCGACAAGGATGAAATTAATTTGGACTGCCACTAGAAAATGTAGGTATACTGTAATAGTCCAGTTACAAGTATTTCATACATGTTCAGGACGAAAACAAATAAATAATAAACACAATATGTAAATCCTTTAACAGGGGTCGACCGGGAAGAAGGGCGGGAAATTGGACTGACACTAGAAAATGTAGGTATACTGGACAGGGACACAATTTATCCTTTAAACAGTCGACCTATGAACCCCTCAAAGAGTTTTACAAGGGTTTTGGACGTGCAGAGAGCGTGGCACTCTCTCGACACTAGCTGTAGGCACCGGATATAACATTCCATTATGTCCGGACGTGGCTGCGTATCTATACATCCAATTTACAACCAAACGGAAGCCCCACTTCGGCAAAGATTTGAGATTTCACTGGTCGGAAGAAGAGCAAACGTGACCATTTTTCTATTCGCTAGTCCAAACGGAGCGAAACCTGTGTCCTGTTGACTGTACAATGTTTTCATTCTGTAATTCATATCTGATCATAATTATCTTAGTATACAATCATAAACAATGAATATGTTTTTTCTCGGTTTTGTTTACTCAAATAGAAATTATTTCAGCACATTTTATGTCATTTACCTGAACTCCAAAAAATCCAGTGGCGTCATTGATTCTAAAATCATAAACTGGTCAACCATTAACTGGAAATAAGAAGAAAATATGATGTTATCAGCATAAAGAGTCTGTCCTTATATCATTATTATTTTTTATTGATTTAATTGTTGTAGATTTTGATGACATTTAAACTGAATACATTTGATTACTTTATTTTTGATCATATCATTATGATGTAATAGAAAACAAAGGGAACTTATTAGATGAAATACAAACGAACTATGACCATGACCCTGTATTCTATAAAGTTCTACAAATTAGACATAAACGTACGATATGACTTCGTGGGCACTGCTAACATGTGGGAAAGGACATAAAATCTCCAACTGAGAGTGTCAACCATGCAGAATGAGTGTTCACATTCATAGATCACATTAAAATGTATTTCGTCCTGAATCGCACCTTATAAACGGGCTATCTGGACGGCAGATACAAACGGGCTATCTGGACGGCAGATACAAACGGGCTATCTGGACGGCAGATACAATAGAATATGTGTTCCCGATTGATTGCTATCAAAACAACAATGGATTTTGTAATCGTTTATAGCAAACTTTGATCTGTGTTTTGTGCCGAACGGACAGTTAGCCGGACATGGGTGTGTGAAGATGGTAGATTAAGGTTAGCATCCCTCTATTCAATGTTTGGTGGTGTATTTATACAGTTATACCGACCTTTAAGATGAGTACAACCCTACTCAGTCGGTTGACAATCTTCAGCATCTGATTTTCATCCAATACCTATAAAAACAATAATAATTCTTGTTTTGTTCTCGTCTATTAGTGTCTTTATATGCTAATTTTGGTTAAATTTTGTTAAATATTAGAATACATATCATTTTATTTATCAGTGAAGGCTCCCTCGTCTAAATTTTGGGAATTATAATATATAAACAGAATAAGTATATTAACGATAAATTTTTAGATTTAGATAATTTTGTTCATATAAATCTAAGCTAATATAGGTACATGTATGATTATATCAAAACGGAACTGATTGCTAACCGAAAATCTCATTAACTTAATCTATTTGATTTAATCCAAATTCAAAAGAATGTTATATGAAAATAACGCTTTAAAAATGTGTTGCATCCGAGGCGTAATTCACTTTCATCCTAAACGCTCTAACCCATATATCTGAAATCAAAGGGTACATAAATATCTGAATATTCCAGAATTCCAGAAGAAAAAAAGCATTCTATCCCAGATCCAGAAAAATTAATAATTAATTCCGTACAAAAAAATTAGCTGAGTTTCCCGAATGTTACGGGACGCAGTTAACTGTCGGGAGTGCTTGGCCGACCTTTCCGGACCATTTCCGATCCGAAATACTCTGTAACTACCGTATGATTGCGTTCAAGCAATGATAGGACAATCAATATCAAGATCATTGACGATAGTAATCCTACCAAAATCGGCACTATATTAATGCCGCAATGAACTTAATGATTGATTGATTGTTGGTTGCTTAACGTCCAGTGGCAAATATTTCATGCATATTCAGGACGAGAACAAATTAACAATAAATACAATAGGTAGGTTCTGTAATAGAGGCGTCCAGGATTAAGGTCGGAGAATTTTAGACTGCCACGGGAAAAGAGGGTATATAAAATAGGGACAGAAATTTAGCCTTGCAACAGGTCACCTACGGACCCCTCAAAGAGTTGTTGCAAAGGTTCTTAACGTGCAAAGAGCTTGGCACTCTCTTTACACGAGGCATCGGATTTAACGTCCCCATTCTGACCGGACGTGGCTGCAAATTTGTACATCCCGCACAGCCAAACGGACGCCCCACTTTAGCAAGGGTTTTACTGCCGGTCGGAGGAAGACCAATGGTGACCATACTTCTATTCCCCAATCACCCTTGGGGGTATGAACTTAATGTTACTGACAACTAGGTTAAATTCAAGTTAAGCTAATAAGTAGAGTCTGTTTTCTTACACTTGGACCATCAATTAGTACACAATTATATAATAGACTTACTGGCATCATAAAACTTTCCCTGACAGAATCTACCTCGAATAAAATCTGTTTAAACCATAGTTCATATGCTGAAACATAATTTAAATTGGAATATAGTATAATTTCAAAATCTATTACAGAAAAGTCATTCTGTCCTATATTTGATCTCTCGAATCAAACCAAATATTTGTTGTAAAAAAATAATAATATTAACTAAATTTATTGTTGTTGCAGTTTTAGAAACTCTTTACCATCTGATCCATCAATAATTTCACTGATTAATAATTTTGTCATAAATATAGTAGAAAAACAAAACTGAACAAATATATTGATTGAAATACCAAATACAACTGATACGGCAAATTGTTTTTTTTACATTATGTCTTTGGAATAAGCTAGTGATTTTTTCCAAAACAAAGAAGCGTCAGCTACTTTTTTTAATTCTAATTATTGTCATGATTTGAATTCATTTTGCACTCAAAGACCAAATATTTACCTTTTCCTTGTTACTATACTACATTGTATAAAAATATTGTTTGTGGTGAACCAAAAAGGTAGGAAAATACCCCGTTTTTTTTTCCTAAGAGTATGGAGAGATGTTAAAATGATATTAATACACAGAACCTTTATACAATCATTTTTTGGCCAAAATGTTACATTTTTAACTGACTTTTATTTTTGAAAAGCGTCCCATTTTTGTATAATTTCCATTTAAAAGTTTGGCGAAAAAATTCTGTTTTCAACATCTATATAATTAAAAGCTTGTACCATATAATTTTACATGTAATTTGTGTCTTCTCCCAAAATAAATCGAAATTTCATGTAAAATGGTTGACCTGTTGTATAATAAAACATGCCATATGTTTCGAATTGTCCCAAAATTACCTTTTACGTATACTGCTACTGCAATATTATATTTACCTTGGTGAGTGATGATAAACAGGTGTTCGTCGTGAACCGGCTTTCCTGCTATAGAACTAGACATTGTCTGACATTTTAACAACTTCTCTAGCTGAAATAATAGATAGGATAGAGAACCGTTACGGGGAATGTGTGTGTCAAAGATACAACAACCCGACCAATGAGTAGAAAACAGGCCAAGACCACCAATAGGTCTTTATAGCAGCCAGAAAATCCTGCACCCGGAGGCGGGATTCAGCTGGCCCATAATATAATGTATATACTAGTTCAGCAAAATGGATGACATACTTAACTCCGAAACATTCAAATGAACCAGATACAATATAAACATTGAAATTTACTCATAAGTATTTTAAGAATATATGTGCATTAGATTAGATGTTCATTTGTCGTGTTCACGATCCCGTTCTCTTTCCCTTGTTCAAGACTTGTCATCAGTCTTTTTACGTGTCGAAGGCGGATGTTACTTGTAGGACAAAAATTGATTACCATGCCATCCCTAGTTATTAGTGGGGTCCGTTGTGCTCAACCTTTTACTTTTCTGTACATGTTATAAAACAATTGCTTTCGTCTACTTTTGCTTATCTGTCCCTTATTATCTTTCTTGGCTGTTGTCCGTCCACCTATCTTAAATTATTTAATATGTTTGCCCCTATGGTACCGTCTCGTCATCATTTTTTGCATTATTCTTTTTCCCATTTGTTACTTTAGATAAAACTATTTTATTTTAAATTCCTATATATCAAAGTTGTTATGACATATAAAAATAGCGTATGAAGCATGAAGAATTCACCGACTTATTTCAGCGACATTACATAAACATAATGTACTTATATTACTATAGTATCCAAGTTCAAAGTATTTGTATTTTGTACCGTAAAGTTTATATTTTTTGTTATTTGATTTTATCTATTAATGGGATTGAAATAATGTCTGATGGCCATCATGCATGTTATTGTATGTAGCTTGTGAGACCGTTTAATGAAAAAATATATACATATAGCACCACAGTACTTATTGAATACTGTATATATGCGTATATATATACTGCTGTCGATTTTATACACCACTGGAAAGAAGTGGCCTTAAATTAATGTATCTGTTTAAAACTAAATTTGTTCAATTATGACGCAAGTTTGCACAAAGTTGTGAGAAAGAAAAACAATTCGTATCGATTTATTTAAGTTCTTTGGAAATATAAAAACTCTTGAGAAGTCAATTGAAAATGCCCGAAATACTTGTGTAATTTGTTTTTGTTCAAATTTTTTTTTTTATTGATATCAACATGGTAAGCAGTCTAACTTTATTTGGTAGTTCTTGTTCAAAAATGACTAAAACAAATCCTTCGGAAAGGCACTAAAAATAAGGGTCTGTCGGGTAAACCTATGTCTTTTTATAAGGCCTAAATAATCACTTACCTGTAAGTATTTGCTGTATGAATCAGGCATTCCATTCATTTTACGTTCTAGTCCGTTTTGTCCCATTGGACACCCTCCCATTGCGTCCTCATCCCCAGAATCAATGCCATTGGTAGCTATTGGACATTTTTTCTCTAGTTCTTTCTCCTTCCGTTCCATTTTCTTTACAAAACAAATGTGAAATTGTTTGCTGCTTTTTCACATGAAGTTACAAACTATACTGTCATTAGTGAAAAGGCTGTCACAGATTTGAAGGATGGTGACATGATAATTATAAACCTTCTCTCTTATTTGGAACATGTATTTGAATAGGCTACATACCGAGTGATTTATTATAGTTACAAGCAAAGGCCACATGCTTTTGGTTTGGACATATTTCGTTGTCAGTAAGCAAATCGGGTAATTTATCTATAGTAAGAAAAAACTCAATGTTTTAGGAAAAAATGTGTTGTGAATACTATTCATTTCATGACTTTAGTACAACCGAATGTCCGTAGTGTGTATAAATTAAAACTTATGCATTGGATAAAAAGATCAACAACTCTAACTATTTAAGGACATCTCCTTTTGTCCCCCGCCGAAACATAGAAATACCGGGCGTATACGTCAATGTGTTCGTGCATATATATATATGTGTCCGTCATTCCGGTCTTAAACCTCACGAGTACAATTCTTGAAGGATATTTATGAACTTCATATCTAATGTTTTTATCTGCAATGTCTCAGACAAACTGATCAACTATTTTTACAGGGGTTATTTCCCTTTGAAATGTAAATTCGATGGAAAATTGCATTGTAATTGCTCTCAGCCATACTTTTCTTGTCAAATTGTATGCAGTTTACATGAAACGTTAATATCAGCAATGTTTTCGACGAGTTCAAAATCAGTTCCGATCAACTATTTGCACAGGAATAATTTTGTCACTTTTAAATGTAAAATATACTGAGCATTGTAAGCACCCTCACGCCTACATTTCTTATCCGATTTTTATGAAATTTTTATTAATGGTTAATATATAAATATAAGCATGTTCTATGACGACGTGTTCAATAATTAATGCCGATCAACCATTTGTACATGAGTAACGCCCTTAGGAAATTGAGATATGGAAAACTGCATTGTTATATATATGCAGTCTCATGTCTACATTTTTTGTAGAATAAAAATGAAAAAGTTTAAAAGAGCCAAAACAATATATGGGAGTTATTATTGTCCTAGAACACATAATATATGTGCATCGGCGTGATGACTTTAGAACGCTGTTCTTTTATAATTATAAACTTTTCTATACATGTTTCGCACAGAGCCCATGCATGGAGTGAAATTTCAATAACACGAAAAACAAAAGAATATATCAATGCATTACTTTCCTAAGAGGATAAACAAGTTGTTAAAGCTAAATGAAACTCAGCCTGAGATTAACAGCTGGGATCTCCAGACTGTAAAACAATTACATTTTTTACTAGAAGATACTATAAGTTACACAGTTTGCTAGTGACCTAATACAATATATATGGGGTCAGTAAATTCCATATGAGGTGAGAGCGAAGCTCGAACCCCATATGAAATTTACTGACCCCATATATATCGTATTAGGTCACTAGCACACTGTGTAACGAATTTATCTTACCAACTATCTTAACATGTGGCATTTAGACTAATGGCCTATCAAAGTGATCAAGTCTTTAATATAAATAACCTACTTCCATAGGCCTATACATAAACAAATGCCAACAATAATAACTTGTTAGTTTTTAATGTGTTTTATGAATTTATTTCAATCGTTCATCTTCAAATTCTTCAACTGTTGTCCAAATGAAACGTTTCAAATTTTTCCTCAACGCCGTGTTGTTTTTATAAAGGGACGTAACACCACTACTAAGCGTGTATTAAAATAAACCACGCCTGCTAACCCCATATGGAATATACAGGGTCTCCACGCGGTCGCTTATAACCAATCATATTCCTAGAAATGTATAGGAGGTAAGATAAATGTTTATTATGGTGTGAGACCTATAGGTTTTACTGGGACTCTGATGTGGCATATTTGACTAAAGGATAATTGATAATACATGATTCTTTTTGGCATCAATGTACGATGACACTACATGCATATATTTTTGACTGACGTAATCGGAACTTTGAAAAAAAGTCCTTTCCAACGTTGTACCCCACCTTCAGTCTCGTTAGGATTGCATGACATAAAAATGAGATATGGGGACGACCGTTTGTATCCCCTACCACCACCTTTTCCCCTCGAAAATCAAATGGTCGAATAAATCTATCATGCCGCTCTTAGATAAGTTTCGATTTCAATGCAAAGACATGATTTAATTACAATCTTGACAAAATATTATATGTGACCTATGTTGCGTATTTATATATTGAATAATAAAATTTCATCAAAACTGGGGGAAAAACAAAATCGTCTTAAACAGAAAATATTCAGTATTAAAAAACCAAGCAGAAACCATTTTCCTTTTGTCTGATGATCGAATTAACACAGCATCCAATTTGATATCAATTGTCTTACTGTTGACAATTCCTAGGAAATGCTTTGAAGCATTGTATTTTTTTTTTCTTCCAACACTTTGAATCTGATTCGGAAAAGATCGCTCTGGTATCTGCTTTCGAAACAAATAAGTGACCAGTTCTTCGGAACGGTATGATTATATGGTACATTTTAAATGTTAATCAGCTTGAAATTTATGTTTTTGTGCTAAATGCAAAGTTTATTGACGACGGATTTGTCTGTCCTGTCAGGCCCTTTTATGTTGGTGCTTTCAAATGTTTTTTAATTATATTTTTTTTTTGGCGTCCCAGTGGTTTTGGTTACGAGTGCATCGGAAGAAGATTATTCCAGAAACAATGCAAAACGACAAGAAAGAAATTTCAAGTCAGAAGAATTCAAAGGGCACTAAACATACTTAATTCGAAGAACAACAACGTCACACAATTACACTTCGCAGAAAACTATAGATTGAGTAGTACTGAACACGAAACACCATCTACTCCCCTCTTTTTAAAATCAAAATTCATAAGGTTCACGGTACGCTCGCGAACAAAAGTTGCATTGATGTATAGAGAACATCAACATCAAAATACCCCCAAACAGAACAGCCAACAGTCAAATGTCAACATTTCTTCAGACAGTTGCAACCGTAGTGAAGTGTCAGTATAGATTACAAACTAAAGTTCTATATACATATGTATATTATTTAAATCATGCCAAAATGTAGCATTGGTTGCTGGACCGATGGTGAGCTTGGGGACTAACAGTTAAAGTAGCAGAGGTGCCTACACATTCATCCTATATAAAGAGTGATACCGTTCAGTGCACACACCACGTGTTTCTGATATAATCAGATATATGCTCGAGACCACAAGTTTGAGAGACACAAACATAAAATGGTTGACAGTGTCCATAATCACTTGTTCCTTAGTAGGGATATCCACTTTATTGGTCCTTGTAGGTTATACAATTAAACAAATTCAAAAGGATTTATATAAATTTAAAACAAGAAGATGTGGTATGATTGCCGATGCGATAACTCTCTCGAATCCAAACGACGTAGAAGTTAACAGATAAAATTTATAAACGCTTTTTAAAGCATGGTTACACGTTTGATACTATGTTAGAAACTAAAATATATGACGAACTGTCGAAAATTGCATATGAAATATAAAATACTTACAATTCAACGGAGAAACACACTTGCAGGCAGTTATCCGGTACAAGGTTAAAATTTATTTCGAAAATAAAATAATATTAGTCGAGCTTTAAATGGTCACATGATTGATTATTAACAATGTAATTTATTTGATGATTGAACAGTGACCTAAAAACTTCGTACACAACATGTGATCAGAAAATCAATGAAAAACTGTTAAGACTAACTAAATAAATGTACCCCTTTTTTTACTTTAACCCATCCTTTCACTTGATTTTAACTCTGGTAAGAACTATTATAGTAAATGATTCCTGGTGAAATATTATACAAGTATTTATTTAGTTTACATTTCCTGGATTAAAAGATTTTATTTCATAATATTTTTAAGTTGTTACTTATTATGAATATCCATACGTAAAAGAAACTTACCCGTTGAGACATTTTCATTGATTGTTATCCAAGTAAAAAATTGTACGTTAAATCAGATCGATGTTGTTTTTTAATATCTTTGAAAATTTCAATTTATAAAGTGTTTTTCGTTGTGATAATTAAGCAGAATTAGTTGATAAATTTAAGAGGATAAAAAATTACATAAAAGTACGTGGCTTTAGTATATTTACATAGTTAATAAGATAATGACCATATTAAGTCTGGCTTCATATTTATATTATTTTTGAACAGTCAATTCTATCGGATTTGTCTTTATATTGGTGCGAAGAATTATATATTACCGAATTTCAATTGCTTTCTTATACTTGTATCCCTCTTCTTTGTTGTTGTTCTTGTGGAATTTTTGAAGTGACGTCATGACCGGCACTAAGAGTGTTAATAGAGCAATACTGTTTTGAGTATTTATACATTAACAAATGGATGATGTGGGGTATAGAGCTATAGCTATAGAGTCATTTTATTCACTTCATCGTTAAAATCGAAAATGAAATTTGGATCCTTTACTTAGACATTTATCCATCATAGACATTTCAGGACCAAACATAATGTCATAAAAGTTGGACGTTTGATTGACAGATGTTTGGGTTTGAGTGTTCAGGATAGGGTAAATTCAGAAAAGCGCCTCCGACTCGTGAAATTTTTTAAAGTGTTATTTTCATTTGTTGAATACACTTTGAATATTCTTTAAAATTAAGCACCTTTACATAATTTTCCTCTCGGTACAATATCCGAATTTAAAAGATGGTAGATTTATTAAGGGAATTCATTCTAAAAAGTTTGTAATATTGGACAAATAGTAGTTTTCTGTAAAGCGTACAATTGGATAGCTATTTGCAGAGACATACAATTGTATTTTATGTCTCTGGAAATAGCTTTTTCATCTCAAAGATGATGATATAAAAATGTCTTTCATTTTTAGCATTGTACGTTTCATCAGTTCTGACGTTAGCAAATTTGGTGTATGTTGGCCTTGTACTTCCACCATTCAAAATAGTCACTCAGTTGTGTATAAATTGTAGCGGGATTACAAACTGTGACAAGGACAAAAAAAAAACGGTTGATACAATTTTTTTCGGTGTGATGTATTATATAAATTTTGAAAAGGAGGCATTTCTAAATCGTCGGTGTTTTTATCCTTTTTGCATTTTGGTACCAATAATAGGTGGTCTGGTTTTTCTTTGTTTTTTGTTGTTTTTTTTTTTGTAATCAGAGATTTATAATTTATTTACTTTTTGTCGGTTTGTATGTATTAGAAAAGTTGTAACACTTTACCGTGTATTTATTACCTCTGCATTTATAGAGTCAATATCGGAAATCGAGGTGAAAGTAATGGAGTTTGATCATTAAAAAATGCATTTATATGTTTCAAAGTCTTCAGACGGTTACTGGCTACAGGGTTTATCTATGAAAGCTAGAAACCCAAACCAATGAAAAAAAACTCTTTTGTACATATTATATTTACCATGGTTCCATATTCTATAATAATTATAATGCTTATTCAGATAAAGCCAATATATACAAAAACATAATACGATTTAGAAACTTAGCTACATAAAACCCTAAAAGATATAGCAATGGTTGTGATTATAGATATATTTAATTCCATAACCCTGAGATTACTATAACACATTACCCAAAGTAGACCTATGAAAGCAAAAACGCTTATTTCCAATGGGGTCCTTATGGTGTGGATAATAAAATAAAGTAATTTATCTTTCAATTGTAAAGCAATGAATAGTATCTATAAATCACAGCTTAAAACATTCATATAAAAAAGCAATCTAATAAGATATAAAATCTGCATCTGACATTGACCTGCGATTACTCATTATGTGTTTTTGTTTACTTCAAACTTACATTTTATTTTTGATTTGACATGAATACCTTTTACATGATCTGGCAACGCATTCCAGATTTTAATACTATTAAAAAAGAAAGAAGAAGATTCTACACCTTTTTTTCATTTGGAACATAAAAGTTATAAGCATTGTAGTTCTAGTATAATTATTAAGGGATGTTATTGAAAAACCATTTTTTAAGTATTCTGGATGTTTGTGTCGAAAAACATTAAACACATGATTCAGACGAATTTGTGTCCCTCTGTTACAAACATTATGTGCTGAATTTGTGAAGCAATAGTCAGCCCATCATAAATACTATCTAAGCCCCCTCCTAAAATGGAGTCATTAACCTATACCAGAACTTGTCATTCTTTCTAGAAACGTACGACTCATATTTAATAATGCTTATAAGGATGTTCGATACTCTATTTTAAAATAACAAGCTTTTTAAAAAGACTGTTATAAATTGATAGTATATAAATAACAGACCTAAAAAAAGCAGAAAAAATGATAGGTCCGTGTCCTTGTTTTTGAGATATAAGCCATTGGAAATTTGGCGGGAAATGGTTTTCTCTAGATTTTTCGTATATTTAACATTGGCATCATTTTTCTTTCAAAAACTATAAAAAAAATAAATAACAAGGATTTTGTATGATTTTCAAAATTGGCTTTTTTAAACTATATATAATAAAGTTATGAAAAAGAAAGAAAGGGGTTAGTGGGCAATTTTTTAATGGCACTACATGGATAATACCAGAGGATTCCGAATATTTGCCATAAAGCCAAAAACCAAGAGCAGCAAACATCTCAATCGGGCATCGGACTTTGCAGAGAATACCGAATGCTTGTCGGCCATGAGTCAAAATCCTCATATGGTCAACCAATGTATGGCAGAGGTCATATTAAGTGCAGTATTGCGGAGCATGTATGAAACGGATATGAACTCTGCGCCGGAGATTGCAAACATCCTTAAGTCCATCAAGCTTTTTGAAAAGCTAGAAATTCCTGTTACTAGTTATCTCCCCTGATCAATGGCAGCCTCCATGGAAAAAATTTCTTCACACATTTGTCAACTTTGTAAAAGGAGATATTTAACCTACAACCATAAGAGATCATGCAGTAACTTAAAGTAACGAAATCTCAATCATATTTACATTTTATTTACTGTTTGATAAGTTTTTAATCTTAGTTAGAGCCAAAAATAGTTGTGTTGACACCGTCACATAAAAAAGTACCCTGAGTACAGACTAACTTATACACAACATTAGATGATTTTTTAAACAGTGTGACTGATTGGACAGTATCAAATGTAATTCAGGTGTTTCTTTATTTTACTATCTTCTGCAGTTCTCACTGATGAAAAAATGCCATTTAAAATCCCTAAAAGATTTTATCTTTCCGAACCACAAAATGCATTTAATATTTACATGTATCGGTCTCACTAATTAGGGACAAGAAGACAGAATAAGGGACAAGAAAACAAATTTATTGACAAGAAAGTTTAAATTCTATTAAAAATTAATATGAGGCAGGCATTACCTGTGAAAGGGGATGAAGTCTATATAAATTATTTTTTTTAATTCAAACATATTTTAAGTTCTAAATCTGTTAAAAAAGAAACGGAAATACCGTAACGTTTCTGATTTTGGTTCTGTTGTTAGGAATTTAGTTGTGACGTTATTTTAGTTATGACGTCATATTCAATGTAAACAAAGAAACGCTATCATCAGGTAACATTTTTTCATATCAAAGAATAATTAGAAATGAAATTGTTATAGTGTTCCTTCCTATATTTTACTGTACTGATAAATATATATTTCACTCATGACAAACAAGACCAGAAGAAGGAAGTAGATTTCTGCGCAAATGCGGGAATTAAAGAAAGTGACAAAAAAAAGTTAATGATTTTGAGTTCATTAGTACAATGAAAATTTCAGGAAATTTTCCCCGTTTTTTTTTTCTTATTGATTTTTCTACTGTAATAGGGGACTTCGTCCCCTTATAAATTTATAGAAAAAAGTCAATTTATTACAGTTGATAATTTGATGTTTTAAAAATTTTCATTTTTGTTAGCACGCCACAGATTTTCTGTAATTAATACAGGTTTTTATACGACTTTTTTGCAGTCCTATATTGGTATCACGTTGTCGTCCGAAGACATTTGGTTTCTGGACAATAACTTTAGTAAATGTAAATAGAAATCTATGAAATTTAAACAAAAGCTTTATAACCACAAAAGGAAGGTTGGGATTGATTTTGGGGGTTATAGTCCTAACAGTTAAGGAATTAAGGGCCAAAAAGGGGCCCAAATAAGCATTTTTCTAGTTTCCAGACAATAACTTGTGGAACGGTGTATGGATCTCTTTGAAATTATACCACAAGTTTCCATACCACAAAGGGATGGTTAGGATTGGCTTTGGGGGGTTATGGCTCAAACCGTTTAGGAATTAGGGGCAAAAAAAGGGGGAAAAACAAGGGTTTCCTGGTTAATGGACAATTAAAAAAAAGTACAATGTAAAGTTTGGATTACCTCCCTTACACTGCTTTTAAATTATGTATAAAGAAATGTTGTATTATCTTGAGGTGATTAGCTGTCAATTTATGTTTAGAAGTTACTATTTTAAAATGCTGATTAAGGAATATTTAATATATTAATTTTAGCCATGATTATGTATGTCATTTTCTATTTTAAGACTTTTATGATGTATTTAAATGGGTAATTATGGTTGCAAACTCCATTGGAAATTTGAATTGAAATTATGACCATATCTTGAGGGAAAGAATTTTTTTTTTTGGAAAAGGGGGGGGGGGGGGGGGGTAAAAAAAGAAATTGTGAGGAG